ATACACTTAGCTCGTTTTTATAATAAATACTTTCACAACTAAAAAATTTAATTTGCAGATTTCATAAACTAATTTCGGGTTTGATAATCCATTCATTCACGAATTATTTAGTATAGGAGGAATTACTCGATCTTTGCTGGCAATCGTGGATAAATAAATTTAGCTTAAGGGTAGATCCAAAGGGTAGAGCTCGTACCCGGATAACTCTTTACCCGAAAGGGTATAACCTATAATAAAATCTAATAACCGGTTTTGTATCCTATTAAAGTGAAAGGATAACGGTTATAACTTAGGTTATCTCCGGATATCATGTGATCAGCTGATCTACGTAGATTATTGGCCGGATTAATTAAAAATACATTTAAATACGTATTTCGATAATGCTATATTTCACTGACATTCATCTCAACAACAGGCTTATTTTTACAGACAATTAATTTACAAACAAGCTCATTTTGTAGACGTATATTTCACCAAAGCGCATTTTATAGACAAAGTATTTTAGTCATTGCCGTATGGTTTAGAATTAGAGTTAAGGTTAGTCCAGTTTAAAAAATATCTTACCGGTGAAATGAACTATCAGCAAAATACTGTCTATGAAGTGAACTTGCCTGTAAATTAATTGTCTATAAAACAAGCTTCTTGGCAAAATAAGTTGATTAAATGTAATGTTTTTCATTGAAATAAGTCGATTAAATGTAATGTTTTTCATTGAAATAAGTCGATTAAATGTAATGTTTTTCATTGAAATAATACAGACCCGTGTATTTGAAATTAAAAAAGAATAAATATGAAAAAAAGTAAAAAAAAAAAAAAAAAAAGAAATTGTACTTAGCATTTGAGGAAAGGAGGAAAGAAAGAAGCAATCGATTCAAATTATATTCACGTGCTTCACATGATAATTAATATTCGAAGATAAAAGTGTGTTGTATGTACATATGCATATATTTAAAAATGTGGCAAAGTAAATATAATCGATTAATAATATAATCAGTTTCAAGTTTGTATTTGTAAGCAGAAGCGAAGAAAATAAACTAATAAGTGCTAAAACTAATTGATCATGATAATAGTATACTTACCTGAATGTGTGCATTGCTTGACTGTTTTTAGCCTCTTTGAGTTTAAAATAACTACAGTACATATGTATGTACGTACAAAGGTTGACAAATTGACCATATTAGTTAAGCGATTTACTAGTTTTAATGTAATATTTATATATTTACTAACCACTTTATTCGTATTAATCCTATTATTATTGTGAATAAATTACTGGTACTATGTATGATTCTTGCTAAATAGTTGTATTTATATATAACGATAAAAAAAAATACATTTTTTTATCAGAGCATATCTAAGCATATATATATATTTATTAATATCGATATAAAAAAAATGATAATTGCTTATTTATATATATAAAATAATAACTATGTACTATATATAAATTATATTTTTATATTACTTCTTATTCTTCGTATTTGGAAAAATGCTATCAACACTATACTGATTTTTTTTTAGAAAAATTAAATGCTCGAATGTAATAGGTAAAAGACTGGTTCTTTTAACAGACATTACATTTCCAGCATCACTAAATAACCTCTCGCTAGGTGTTGAAGTAGCCAAAATAGCTAGATACTTACGTGCCAAATAGGCTAAAACTGGAAAACGTTTTTGGTTACTTTTCCACCATTCGAATGGACATTGATCATAAGAAATTTCTGGCATTCCAATATAGTTAGAGATTTCATCTATTTGAATATTATTTGATCGATACATAGAGGCTAATAGTTTGCTTGTAGACTGTAATGGCTGTTCGATAGGTAATATGTTAGTTTGATTTTGATATTGTTTATACACTGTACGCAATGAATCATAAGTTCTAGCTTTTAAAGATTCCGAAGCAAAGTTTAACATTTTACATCGAGGATCAAGTAATGCAGCTAACATTCCTTCTTCTAATGGCACTTCCCAATAATAATTTATAGCATTATATAAAGCTGCTTTTACTCTTTCTTCAAAATTTGCACAGTTTTGAGGAATATTAAGTTGTTGAAAGTCAATTGATTCGATATCATCTACTTGATCCTCATTTAAATTCGTATCATCAAAAGCATCTTCATTATCATTATAATTTACTTGTTGTAACTCAATATCATCAGTAAGTATAAGATTATTCATAATCGTATTAATTGCACTATATATGAAGCTTATCGTTGTATATTTACTACCTCCTAAAAATTCGGTTGCCTCTGCAAATGGTTCAAGTATCGTAACAAGATTTTTTATAGCTTCCCATTCTATATCAGTAAGATTGATTTTTTTTAATATTATACCATCTTTACATGCCTGATAGTCTTCATCTAAAGAAAGCATCGTAATCATAAGTTTAATTATATTTTGAACTTTAATTAGCCGTTGCCAGGCTAAAAAAGATGAATTTCATCGTGTTGGCATATCAGCAATTATTCGTAATTCATGATCATTTTGGGTAAGAATCTAATAAAATTTAAAAATTATTATAAATATTATAATATAATAAAATTTAATAATTTATTATTATTGTTATATAAAAATAAATATTATACTTACAATATCTTCATTACATTTGAATTTTTTTTGAGCTTCTAAAAGACGTTGTGTTTGTTTAGGAGTAGTAAAGTATAGTATAAGTCTCTTAGCCTGTGTAACTAAATTTTTTACTTCTAAAAGACCTTTCCCAATGACTAATTGAAGGGTATGGGCCGTACATGGTATACGAATAATATTAGGCATTAAATTTAATGCTTTAACCATATTACTACTGTTATCAGTAGTAATTGTAAAGACTTTATTATCAAGATTCCATTCATTAATAATTATATTTAAAGTTTTAGCGATGATTTCACCAGTATGCGGATAAGAAAAATATCTAATGGAAAGTATATTCTCTTGTAATTGAAAATTATTATCAATATAAGAACAAGTAATGCCCAAGTATCCTAATCTATTACGTCCAGTCCATAAATCACATGTTAAAGAACAAGATATAATATTTTGTTCAAATATATTTAATAAAGATAGTTTAGTATTCTCATATGCTTCGGAAAGTAATTGTCAACAATATTTTTCACTCGGAAATTTATATAATGGATCAAATTCTGCAATAAAATCCTTAAGACCTTCATCATTTCGAATACTTATTGGTTGCTGATCTTTAATCAAAAATTCAACAAATTTTTGATCTTTACGTCGTTTGTATTCTGGATTGTTATAAACCATTTGATCAATTTGAAGTTGTAAAGGTTGTGACTTTTTTGTTTTTTCATTATGAGAACTTTCTGTAATACCATGTCGTGTTGCTAAATGCCCAATATAATTCCCCGTTGAGCTGTCTACTGACCCCATAATATGACCACATAATTCCTTTTCATTAGTATTACTTTTATAAATTTTTACCAAACAACTTGCAATTGTTTTGTAAGGTGGTACAGCTTCATAGCGTTGATAATATAACCAAATCCAACTTCGTCCTGAATGTGTAGTAAGAGGAACCAGCTTTATTGCCTTTAAATTTGGTAATTTTGACATATTTTTAGATTTTGTTGGTAAGATTAAATGAGATTCTTCATTAACCAGATTATTGCACTCATTAGTTACATTATCATTATCACTATTGACCAGATTATAGTTGTCAAGTATATTATCATTGTCGCTATTAGTTAGATTATCACATTCATTAGAAATAAATTCTTCGGATTGAGATAATTCTAAGCTTGATTTGTATGTATTATCTGTTTTTTTTTGTTTTTTGTATGATGTATTAAAGTTTGAAGAAAGGGTCGTAATATCTTCTTCATTAGAAGAATTATCGCTAAACATTTTTTATAAAACGTATGTAATTTTAAAAAAAATATGAAAAATTACTTTCATCTTCAACAACATATTTATATTTTATAATTTACTTTATTCGGATTTCAAACCTACCCTAATTTAATTTATTTCATATGAATACAGAGAGTGAAATCTGTAACTAATCATAATTACAAGTTTTTGCTTTCATACGCTCATATGAATGTCTTATATAATAAAGGATAAAACTATTAAAAAATCGGATTTATTATAAAATTTCAAATAAGCTTTAATTACGTAACGTTAATTTTTTCTATGCAAAAGCTTAAAATTCTTACAAGTTTTAACTTGACGATATACTTTTATATAAAGACAATTAGATAGATTACGCTACATATTTCTTTGCTACGATCAATCACTTCTTCATGTGAATGCTAATATACATAGTAGAAAAGGAATAATTAATCATGAAAGATGTTATAGTATAGATAATCGCATTAAGAACTATTATTCTAATATGTATAAGCATATATCTATTGTCGTGGGTTAATCTGTGACTTTTGTCAAAGAATGCCTAGTCCAAACGGCAAGCACTTGATCACTTGGCTTATTCCGATTTCAAGGTTTAAATTAAGGCAAGTACTTTTATTTATTACTTCAATGAAGTTTATTAATTAAGATCGAGACTAATACTAACTCTTCTAACTAACTCACTACTATTACATTCGCTTTGCTCATTTATTCATACTTCGGGTCACATTACTTACATCATAATTTGTTCATATACGATCATACGATCGTTTGACTCTTATATTACTAATAAATTACCTCATATTTCATACTTTGGGTCACATTACTTACATCATAATTCGTTCATATACGATCATACGATCATTTGACTCTTATATTACTAATAAATTACCTCATATTTCATGCATGCTGGTTACCTTACTTCAATTGCATAATGGATCGTTTAATCCCCGATCGATCACTTATAACGTGCATCACGTGCACAAGATAACGATTGATCGTTCGCTTTACCTTTATTCCCATATATGTTTACTGAATACTGTATATCACCATGATACTATTTAACCAAATAATCATCGCAGTATGCATAGCTATTGAACAATTTTTATCGGAAGGTTATTAGGCTTTTAAACTATTAAAAGCTAGTGCTAGTAAAAAAAAATATTTTATACAAAATAGCTATTCATACGGCAGTTTTTTAACTTATTCTTGCAAAAATATAAACATGATTTTTAATCAGATTTCACTCATGTTACTTCACATGTTATTTTTAATACTTTATTATTGCCACATGCATCTAGAAAATTTAATTACATTCACATAAAAGGCTAAATTAGCGATCTGTAAAAGCCAGACCTATAATATATATATCATTTCATTAACAAGTTGGGCTGTGTAATCATTTAAACGTAAAAAATAGTATTATTACTATATAATGATAATACTATAAACATTTATGGCATTTCATCAAAAACTTAATTTGGTAACTTATTGTTATATCGATATATCGTGTACGTATCAAATTAGGATACAAATCACATATTACTATTTTACCCTATATTACCCTATATTATCTCTTAGGTTAACTGGATATCCTAATTGTGTAACCCGTTAGTCAATTTATAATCCGGTTATCCGGATAACCTAACGGTTAACCGGATAACATACCTTAGGGTATGACCCCTACCAAAGGGTCATTGCTCTGTAATAGGTGCAGTTAGTGAGTTGGTTAGTACCGAAATACTTCTATGCTGATCTTCGATTCGTGGATTTAGGCTCTTTGAGCTATTTCTTTGAAATAAAACACATGACATCATGGAAAAATAATATTTATTCTGAATTTTATTATGTATTAATATAATAAATAATAGCAAAGCTAGTACCAGGGTACATATTACGATACGATATTGACAATGAATAAAACTATATTAGAAAATAATCATAAATCTCGAAATGGTAATAGTGTGATATCTCGCATTATTAAACAAGTATCAAATAAAAAAATTCAGATCTCTTTCCATCAATTACTAAAAATAGTGAAACCCGAGATTCGGCAGGATATTATAAACTCGATAGCAAACCCAGATATTTCTCAGAGAAATCGTACACTATCTGAGGCTAAAAGAAAAAAAACAATTTTTAACGATACCGTATTTGAGTTCTCGTCTGAATCTGGGTCCGGCTCTGAATCCTTTTATGATAATGAAGATTTTACTATAGATATGGTAAAAGTGGAGAAGCACAATTAATCTTGCTCATAAGGAATGCCTCTTTTTCTATAATTAACTACAATGTAATTTTGTACAGAAGAAGTATGTTTATCAGATGAATGACGTAGACATTCTCCAGCAATTGTATAAGCATAGGCCATATTCTTAGCCCCATATGCTACTGTACCGTAAACTGCTCCTAATTTACGTAAATATTTAGGAATTAAATCATAATCTTTTAAGAATTTATTGAACTATTTAACTCCTGGCTTACCTGGATCACCTATTCGTCCAGATGATATAACACGCTGAATCCAAGTAAGTAGTTCTTTGGCTCGTTCTTGATTCTTTTCCATCGATCTAAATTTTCTAGGAATATCTGGCTGACCTCGATTCTTCGCATATCCCACCACTCCAGCATCTGTAATGCGTAAAGATATAAGTTTAGCAGAACAAATACAAAGCATCACCATAACATCAGCAAGAGCCTGACAATTAGGTAAAGTTTTAATATCATACGCATCTAATCTTTCTTTAACTGATTCTAATGTAAATTCATCTGGATAATCGATACGTTTAGCTTCAGCTTTTTTTCGATTGATACTCTGGATTTTGTTAGCATCTTCTGTAATATCTGGAAATTTTGTAACCTTAATTATCTCAAGTAATGCATTAAGGTTTCTTAATTCTCTACGAAGACGAGTGAGACGTGATGAGTCAGCATTAGCATTTTTTGCTGATAGGGCTAAGACATAAGCTTCAGCTCTTACATCTCTAATGCTAAGTTTATCTCATAAAATCTGTTGCGCTATATCCCCAATTGTTTCTTCCTCCATTCCTTTAGAGAGTTGATTGGTGATTACAATATTTACATTTTTATCTGAGGTAGTTACACTGTGTCTACTTTCGTTTTTCAGGATTGTGAATAAGGCATTTACTTGATCTTCACTAAACCCATATCTATTTTGCAAGATTTGTTTTGCTTTCTCTCTGACGATCTCTTCTTCTAAACTTTTTGGGGGCTTGGTTATTGCTATTCTACAATTACCTTCAACCAAATTTATAGTTTTATTTTTTCCACTTCTCTGATTAGGTATCAATACATCTACCTGTTCACTGCTAAATTTAAAACCATCTCGAAGGCGTCTGCGAGCCTGATTCTGCTTCTTATCATCAGTAAGGTTTTCAAGAAATTCTGAGATATATTGACTGAGATCGGATATACCTATCTTAGAGCTAAGATTGTATTTTTCAACGATTTTAGTTGTAATGGCTAACATGATTGAATGTTATAATAGGTTGGGTAGATTATGAACAGTTCTTTAGGTTATATACACCATAAATATTCTTTTTTCAAATCGAAATTAATTACGCTTTTTTCTCCTATATCTAGAAAAAAAGAGTTTATGTATTTGCATAAGCAAGAGTAGGATGTTGATTTGAAATTTACTAACATATAGGATATAATGAAAAAATTTATAGCCTTGGAGTTGTGGCGATTCAGGCTAATAATTGGGCATTATGTTTTATTTTTTAGTATAATACTTGAGCTAGAATTAATATATGTTCTAGCTCTAGAATGTTTGCCTTGGTGAATGCATCGTATAAAGCATTTGGACTATATTTTGAGAAAATCAAATTTGGATGATGGAGAAATTTCATAAGTATAACACTTCCCTATTCACGTGCTTTATTACTATCCCAACACATTTCTAATAATGCAGTTAAGCTGGAGTAATTCATCTCGATCAAGTTATCTAAAGACGTTTTTCCATTTCTTTCTATAGTAAAAAGACTCATTCCTCCTTCAACAATAGATGACATAGTAATCGGACATCTTCCACATATGTCTCCTCTTCGGGCTAAAATAGAAAGAGGTGGTATCAGAGCGGGATAATGAAAGTCAGCTAGGGGGTAGATTGTACCGTATTCATCTAAATCGATTGGTGGAATATCTTCTAAATAATGCGTAAGATCTCTGGCGTATTAATATCCTTTGTGTAACAATCTATTATATAATTTTCCTTTCCTTTTAATCCAACGATTAGTGGAGAGATTAAGCACTTCTTTAGGTTTATTGAATTCTTTATTATATTCTGGCTCTTGGATATACATTTTTGTGTTGTATTAATGTGGTATATAGTTATAAAAATAATAATAGTTGATTGTTACTTATGTAAATGATAAGTTTAATTAGTTATTTTTCTGTTTATAATATTTATACGCTCTTTCCCTACCTTGGCCACACGGGACACAAAGCTAAATGCTCGATTTAGTCCCTCGACCACATCCTTTACAGGGTTGTGGAATTATTATACTCTTTCAAATCTTGAATGCATGGGTAGCACAATATTGTCCTTTTGCTGGGTTTTTACATAATTTAGTATCTCCAACTAATAACCAATTACAAGGCATTTTTGATTCACAAAGTGGTTATATTATTCTCACTTTCATATTTAAAATTAAATTCGAAAATGAAAAATTAACCAAATATCGTTTTTAGGTGTCTCAAAAACCAGTATAAGAACAGAGTTTTCATTATATTTTAATTTGAAAATTTTATATTGCTCATATGTAGGAGCAAAAATTTCTCTATATCAAAGCTTCTACCTGCGAAATTTATCTTATTCGCTCCTTATCGACTAAGCAATTACCATAATATACCATTTTCCTGGAGTATGTTAATTGTTTTTTTCTATTTCTCATCGGTATCGAGCCATAAAGTCGTGATTCCATCTTTCTCAAGAGAACGGCAGATTATTTCTTCACTTATCAATCTTTCTCACACTGACATGTCTATATATTCATTGGGATCTTCTTTAGCCTCCTTTGCATAACTACATATTCTCGCATCAGTCTGCATTCTATCACAGAATGCTATAAAATCGAGCTTATCTTTTTCAGTAATAGTAACGAACTTATCTGGATCCTTGCCAAGCTCAATAGCTTTTTGCCTTAATCGTATTTCTCGTTGCTCCCTGGTTTGATATCCAAGTGGGTATGATATCTGCTGGGGAGATACTTCATTACTGGTTTTTGGATCATTGTTTACAGGTAAGTCAGGAGAGATCTCAGGAGATTTAAATTTATTGTCTACAGGTTTTACATTCATGATCTCAGGAGGCAGAAATATATTTGTAGACTTGGATAACAAAGCAACTGAACTTTCATTTGTTACAGAATCGAAGAGATCCTGGGTCATATCAGGAATAGAGAGGGTGGATGTTTTCTTATCTTTTTCGACATGATTGGTATTTGATGAGGTGGGTTTTATTTTTTTCAGTTTGGAAGTTATGATTTCTGGGACATTGAATATAGGAATATTTGTGGATGTATTGGTGGATATTTCAGTTTGAGGTGAGTCTGAAAATTCTTCAATATCACCTACTGATTCACGTAGCTTGGCCACGATTTTTGAATGATCGAGGATATACTGCCATTCTCTTTTTCCACCACTAGCATATTTTTGTTCAATGTTAACCTGTGGGATTTTTTCCCCAAAATTATTATTACTAAATGGCTTTTCACCATTAGCTTCACACCATGTATGATACTCCCGATATAACATAGCATAGCCTGGTTTTTCAATTTGATCTTCTGACCATACCGAAATATGATCAATTATGAATCGGATGGGGTTTGGGAGATGCTCACGTATTGTCTCTGTTTTCATTTTAGTGGTAGGAATATTTTCTTGTGGATTCCAATTCGAAAGGTCTTGATTAAGTAAATAGCTCATAAAAGATCCAGGTGTATTGGGATGGTTGAGAATTTTTCTCAACTGACCAAAATATTTAAAATTACCTTTACATCAAGGTGAAACATCTAAACATACAATATGACCATCTCCTTGCTCAACACGAATTGGGGCATCATGATTACTTAATACTATAAATCTAGGAAAATGGCCACATTCTTGATTTTTGAGACCTTTATGCTCAATTGAGACGTAATCTTTTGTAATTAGAGATTTTAAGTGATCGTTTGACTTATGCCATTCTCCACTTAATATTCCTGCTTCATTCATAATTATAAGTTTGCGTCCTTGAATACTACTGTTGAATTTTCCCAAAATTTTACCTAAATCGGATGTTGAATATACAAGCTCTGGACTGAATAAACTTTTTCGAATAAAATCAGTAATAATATTTTTCCCACATTGTGGCGGTGAACGCAAAACAAGAATTGTTCCTGGAATTATTGCTAGATACTGAACTAAAAATGCTAACCATTTGAGAATGTATGTAGAAAGAACTTTATTCCCATCACACCAGATATTTTCTATATGCCATATAATCGGGTTCACAAGATCGTAATTAATTCGAGGTGCTGGTTTAGCCTTGAATTCTAAGAAAAGATTGAAAAATTCATTTTTTGGTTGTTTGATATTAGGTAAATATGGTAAGAAATCAATATCATCATAAATAATCGCCTTGCTGTCATATATACGATCTATCAAAGAGATTAATTTTATTGGTTCTCCTCCAAGTTCTACTATATTAATAGTTATTTTACCAAAATCTAGAGTAGGTGCCATACCAAAGTATAATCTACCATCTGGTTTTCTGTGTTTAAAAATCCATGTTCGTTTATCTTTTACTACACAAGCAAGTGTAGCCTGGATTGCGTTATATACCTCATTCCGAGTAAAATTTTTCTTAGAAGTGCACATACGAATTAAATCACCCTATACAAAGTGGTCATTTGGATCTGAGATTCTGGGTCTCTATATTTTTTCTGGCAGTAGAAGACTGTTTTCCCGTTCCAAGATCGATACTTTTAAAGTAAGGTTTAATGATGGTTTTCTTGTACCTGCTGGCGTATCTTGATCTGCTTGATGACAATAATAATAATAAGTTTTCTTATTTCAGATTACATATGCATTATCACTAGTATGTTCCCGATTACAAAGTGGGCATTGAGATTCTGCTATGCGATTTAGAGAGAATACATTTGGGAGTGTTGGTGAAGAATATAAAACTTCAAAACCTTTGATTTTATACTCCTTAAGTAATTTTTCTATATATTCTACTTCAGATCCGATTGTCCCAGTATCGATTTTAATTTTTTCTGGCATTTTCCTATCTTCAATTAATGTTTTTTTCTTCGGAATATCCAAGATAGGACTATCTATAACTGGTGCCTCGTCATTAGGTGGGCGAAGTATAAAATCAAAGACAGAACTATCCTTTGGAAAAATTGCTTTCTTCACTCGTTCATGCTTGTTAGTTTTTTGGATAAATTTTAGTGTTCCAAGCATTCGCAAGGAAAATGAACGCTTTTTTGCAATATTATCGACAATGCCTTTGCTTTATAAACCAACTGGAAGTTTATCACAAACAAGTTTAGTAAATAATGCAACTTTAGCAATATTTTTGAGTTGGAGACCTAAAGTTGATATATGGAGAGATATTTTTTTCTCATCACTACTACTGGCAATAGTTAATGTTTTGCGATTCCAATCTGGATATATTTCTAGACACACTTCTTTAAAGGCACGATAAAGTAAATCCCATATTTCTTTAGCTGTAAGCTTAAGCTTGGGTTTAATTTTATCAAATTTTTCTTTAGATAAATCAAAATCTATAAAGGGGTGAAGTGGATCATCGCCATCAATAAATTCGTGTAATGAATGCCCTTGCCGTTTACTAAGTATAGCTTCTATTCCATCTTCGGTATCTGTACCAAGAAATTCATAATTATTACTATCATCATGAATTTTATATATATATTCAGCCACGCTCTCAGCTTTAAACCCCTGGTGGTAAAACGCTCTGCTATTTTCTTCCTCTATCTCTGGCTCGAAGCTCCCTGTCACATAAGTATCCCCACATTGCTCTAAGTCTTCAGGGATCAGTACAAGAGGTGCAGGCACGTTGATTGTATCTGTCAATATAGGGTGGGTATATTGTGTTCACTTTGGGTACTCATAGTAAGTATCTTTTACTGCTAGTATATTGTTTCGGAAAAAAAAGTTCAAAATGAAAATTAATTCTAAAGAATAGTTATATATACAATATTGGGCAAAAATTGTCGAATAATGGTAATTTGGCAAATGAGCACGTGCCGCTTTGCGGCATGTGTAGCCAATCATTTGTCAAATTACTGTATTCGACAATTTGCCCAATATTGGTGTTATCCGGCAATTTATGATCATGATTGGTAGGGAGTCATTCGCTGAGTTTTATTTTTTGAATATTGGAATAACATAATTATATCGTAACACATGAAAAAAATAACAGAAAGAAATTTTTTCATGATCATATGAGTTTGCCGGATA